AAACTGATTCGATCATTAACAGATGTAGATTTCTTTTCCTTTAATTCTTAACGTCTCGGAAAGTGCAATGGCATGAATTAATATAAAAATCAGCGACCTCACACAAGTTTTTTGCACAGCTCGTTGGCTGTGAGCTGGAAGCAGAAGGCAATAATCGATAGAAATTTGAATTTTAGCCTCCACTTCCATTCCATAGTTGCTTTTTTTCGTCATGAGGAGGAGACCTCTTAACTTTGCTTAGGCAATACATCCCAGAAATCGCTAGTTTCTCGACGTTTTGACAGTCATAAGAGATAGCATGCTACCGCTTTATCTACATTTTATTGAAAGTAAAACGGAATTAATCAAAGTAAAAACACTGCAAAGCAAAACATCAACACTTCCACGTCCATAATTTTGTAGATCGAAAATTAAGCTCGAAAATGGTGACGACGCCGTTTAAGTGATGTTGTGTGTAATTACATCAAAATCACATTTTGTCGTCAAACTGCATACTAAGTCGTTTCCTTTGTTTAGCATCTGGAGATGAAAGAAAGTAATTTTCCCCCTTTATAGCATAGCCTTCTGCTGATTTATGCCATGCCATGTCTCATTTTTGTTATGTCGCAAATGTATTTGCGTAAAATTGAAGGACTTTACTCTTATTTGTGATTTGTTTTTCCTTATTCTCCAGCTGTAAACGAGAACTAAATACCATTTCAGAGAAATGGAAGATGAAGATGAAGTCATCAAGAAGAAGAGGCGTGTCATGAAGGTTAAGAAAAAAGTGGAATCTGATGACGAAGAAGAGCAGAGCGATGAAATCGATATGGAAGTGAGTAGCTTACGGTATTACCTCATTAGTCTGCTTCATAGGGCTTTATAATTATCTATCTCTAACGATTAAACATTACGAGTTCATACTCCGCTTGATATCTTACTATTTTGGTGCTATGTGGTCAGCCAGTACTAGAAGCCCCCTCTTCTTACTTTTTTTTTTCAAAATAAGTGCAGGAAAAATGGAGCTCATTCTTCATGCTGATCGAGTGACAACCTTTTGTTGTATTTAAGACAGTCTGTAGTGA